AGTCTTGTTAGATTAATCTAAGTACAAATACTTGAGCCACCTGCTGCTGTTTGTGTTTATTTGAAGAGTTTTTTGAACTGCTACAGATTAGATCAAAGCGGATGTCTTATAACTGTTTCTTTCAGTCAACCTGTCATAACTAAACTGTTATCACAGTTATCATAGACTTCTGACCACTGCACACAAAGACAGGTGATGTCACATTAAATACTACTGTCTACACATTCATCATACATTTGGAGAACATGGCTCCATAAATTTATCAGTCCTAACGCTGATGAGATGATCATGTCCCTTACCTGAATCTTGCCTCTGGCTTGCTCCAGACCCCATCAGTCTTCAGTCAGCTGAGGCACTGTTCGTCTACATCCACAGACATGATGCTTACAATTTAGCGAGTCTACACAAAAGCACATAAAGCACCAAAGCGCATTTACGTAGAGTCTACACCCGCGTGGCTTGGCTAATCAGCTTCTTTTCTTCTCCGTCATTCCCTCTGTCTGGTTGAGTGACACTAATCCTGTGCACTGGCTCAGAGCAGCAGTAAGGAGGGCTGGATTTAAAGGGAGCACAGGATTAAGGCTTATAAACTCTTATTTAATTATAATAAACAATGACAAAATTGTGCATTTAATTTAGGCTGTTATGAACAAGCCAGCACTAGCACTTTGATAAAAAAAATACTCAACAAGAAAATGGAAGATGCCGCTTTGATGCATTTTTTTCTGCTAGTTTATGGCAACACCAGCTTTGCACGACAACCTTTTATATGTTTAACTATAGTGCTGCTATACTACTTTTGATCAAGGTCTATTGCGCACTATCATGGCTCTATTATCTTTATTTATTTATTGTATACAGTAGAGAAGAAGGAGAGCAGGTGGGAAATGGGCTCTTCCAAGGACAGACTCAAACCCAGACCTTTGCTGTGGCCTTTGGATACATGTGGGTCGCCTTCTTAACCCAGCACCCCACTTTCCCTTTCTGAACCAAACAGGAAAATAATGTGGACATCAACACAGGTTGTGTTGTGCTAGAATCTACTGTATTAAATATTACTGTGAAGCCGCTAATGGACCAGGAGAAGACAGCCCAATTATGCTATGAGCGTAGCCCGTATGATAGATGGACATGATTGGTTTCTAAAGCCCTTTTTTTAAAGCCTCAAGTTGGGCATTTCTGCTGTTGCCATGTTTGTTACAAAAAACCCACATGAAACGAAGAAGGGTGAGTCTGACAGGCAACTTATTAACCAATCACTGTGTGTTTTCAAACCACAGATAAGCCTATATTTGGAAACATGGTAAGACCAAGACTAACAAAGCGGTCTTAAGTTTTTATTCACAACAGCCAAAACGACTGTATGACATCATAAATTCAGCAGGAAAATGTTTACAGAGGTCAAGACAGAAACCTGTTTTTTCATAGATTTCTATATACTCAGAAGACTTTTTGCAGACTGCAACTATCGCCATCTGGTGGCCTGCAGATAGAGGTTTTTAGGCATTTCTGTATTGGCTTAATTTTGTCTTGGAGGCTACCTCCATGTTTTGAGGGAATCTTCCAATCAATACATTGATGCGATAAAAGGATATAAACAAATCAAGCCAGTAAGATTTTGAAAATACTGGCAGCCATCCTCGTAGATACACCTATAGTATCCATCCATCCATT